TTGGATGGAGGTGTAAATAATTTTCTTTTTTTTTTTTTCTTTAAAAAAAATTTTTTTTTCAACGTTTATTTATTTTTGGGACAGAGAGAGACAGAGCATGAACGGGGGAGGGGCAGAGAGAGAGGGAGACACAGAATCGGAAACAGGCTCCAGGCTCTGAGCCATCAGCCCAGAGCCTGACGCGGGGCTCGAACTCACAGACCGCGAGATCGTGACCTGGCTGAAGTCGGACACTTAACCGACTGCGCCACCCAGGCGCCCCAAGTGTAAATAATTTCCAATCTTGCTCCCTCCTTGAGCCTCGGCATTAGGGTGTGTGTGTGCGCCTGGGACTGGAAGGGGTTATCTGTCTCGAAGTTCCATGCTCACTCTGAATCATGCTGCTTTGGGGGGATTGGTGTTCGTCCAAGGAGCCTGTTGCCACAGGTAGTGAACAAAACAACCCGTGGCAATGATAGCGCAGATGAAATCTTTCTGTCCTCGCTGCCGTCTGGCCTGCATGTTCCTGAGCAACCCCTGACTGCTTCTGTGGGGACAAATTGTAACAGGGTTACATGGAGATGGCTTGAAATGATTGATTAAGTTTCTTTCTTTATTTTTAAGTAATTTCCACACCCAGCATGGGGCTCAAACTCACGACCCTGAGATCAAGCGACCGAGCCAGCCAGGCGCCCCTTGAAATGATTTTTAAGCTTTCCTTTCCACAGCAGCAAGGAAACTGTTGATATTATTGCCTTCTAGAGGGTTCCGGACCTGTGATCTCAGATGCTAAGAGTGCCAGCTCCAAACAAACCTATTTCCCAACAGAAATGGTCAACTGGAATCAGGAGGCCTTATTGGAGGGATTTTCACATCTCGTGGGGACAGTGATGAACTTACTTTGGTTTTAGAGCTCTTGTGTTAACAGGTACCTTTGGAGATAGAGCAGCTTTGGGGCTGTGGTCTTCTACTCAGTCCATCAAATGATAGCTTTCCTCTTGCTCCCTCTTAGTGTCTGGCTCAAAGCAGCATATTCTCTCCAAACTTGTTTGCTTGCCTTCGAGAAGCTGCTCCTGAGATCGAAGGCTCCATTGGTCAAGCTTGGTCCTGCCCTGGGGAGAGATAAACAGGCCCCAAAAACACTTCCCAGATTGCAACACTGGTGAGTCAGGCAGGCTGGACAGCTGTTCCCTCGTGGCACCCTGGTTATACCTGATAAGGAAAAACACGGTTCATTCCAGCACACTGCCATGTGTGTGCACATACATAAACAGATACTCCCGGGCCCCAGCGTTGTCTTAGAGTAAATTATTGACATTCTGAATGGCTAAAACATTGGGTAAAAAGGCGAGCACAAACACTTTGCTCGAGAGGAGCTCCAGGTTTTGTAAGCCAAAAATAAGTCAAACAAAGGCTGTCATTTGGCACGACTCAGGAGCTACCTTTCGAACCCACCTGGTCAAGGGCAGATTCCAGAGTCTTTTGAAGCTCTGGAAAGATGACAGGAGGGTTGCAGCGGGGGAGAGGGGAGGAAGTCAGAATGGAGGAAATGGATTTATGAAGGAGCAAATGGCAAAACGCCCAGAGAGAAAAGGTGTGTCCTAAAATTGTGACCATACCTTCACCACAAAGGTGAAGGAATTGGCACTATGACATCTTCAAGAAAAAACAAACGAACAGACCCCAAAAGAAAAAAAAAGTGAATGCCTTTCTCCTTAAATGATATACAGTGCGGGGCGCCTGGGTGGCGCAGTCGGTTGAGCGTCCGACTTCAGCCAGGTCACGATCTCGCGGTCCGTGAGTTCGAGCCCCGCGTCGGGCTCTGGGCTGATGGCTCAGGGCCTGGAGCCTGTTTCCGATTCTGTGTCTCCCTCTCTCTCTGCCCCTCCCCCGTTCATGCTCTGTCTCTCTCTGTCCCAAAAATAAATAAACGTTGAAAAAAAAAATTAAAAAAAAAATGATATACAGTGCATAAGGAGTGGGGCAAATGGAGGGGGGTTGAAATTAATAATATAATAATAGCACCACAAATAATATATTACATCTTATAATCAACACTTCACATTACCTCTATGAAGAGCAATTTATAGTTTACAAGGGGCTTTCACATTCATCTTCTCCATTTACTCCATCAACCTACTCAAGTGGGTAGGGTATTATGAGCCACATTTTACAGATGAGAACACTGAGGATCTGGGAGGATATCTGCAATTAACTGAGTCATAATTAAGGGCTAGGGATGGGCAGGTCTGTCCTGAGTAACCCAGAGCTAAGACACTTGCTAGACAATAATTCTCCTCCAAGTGATTGCTTTTCAGGGAGTGCTCAGAGGGCTAAATTTCCATTGCATTTCTAGGTAGAGCAGCCCCACCTTCTCCAGTGTTGTCCAGAACAAATTTCTCTAAACACGTCTCTGATGATTTTTGTTTCCTGCTTAGATCACAGCAGTGTATGGCATCTGTAAAAATGAAAGCCCACCAGGGATGATTTCTAGATCCACCCCGTGTGCTTCTTTCTCAAGAGTCCCATCCTTGACCTGTTCTTTCTGTTCTGGAAACACTTCGGGTCCTCTGAGCCTGGCTCGGAGCCTTGCTCTCCCATGGGGAGGAAACATCCTCATTTGCATAGGATATTATGAAAGCACAGGACCCACCTAGAGGGGTCTGGGCAGGTGTTTTGAAAGTGTTGGTGCCTGTTGGAATTTTCAAGCAGCGGTTCTTAAACTTTGGCCTGCATCAGAATCATCTGGGGAGCTTGTTAAAGATATGGACATCCAAGCCTCACCCTGGACCTTCTGAATCAGAGTCCCTGGTGGTGGGGCCCGGACATTTGTGAGCTTAACGAGCTCCCCAGGTGATTCTGAAGTGCACCAAAGGTTGAGAACAGCTGCCTTAGCACATGAGTGGGGGTTACTCAGGTGAAGTCTCGAGAGTGAGGAGCAGTGCTAGGAGAGGAAGTGGTAGCCGCAGGAGCCTGGAGAGCCTGGAGGAGACAGTCAGGAATAATTTCTGCCCCATCCTTCCCTCCCTTTAACAAAGTGGTCACATGGGGCTCCTGGGTGGCTCAGGCAGCACAGAGCTCGCTTAGGATCCTCCATCCCCCCCCCCCCCCCCCCCCCCCCCCCGCCCTTGCCCCTCCTCCCCACGGCGTGCACAACAGTCTCTCCCTCTCTCAAAAATAAATACAAAATAAACATTTAAAAAAGACCAACGACAACGAAACCAAAGTGGTCACCTGAAGGGGGTTAGAAATCTCCTTCAGACAGGTCCTCCCTCTGACAGAATTGCTATGTGCAGTCAGAAAGACCAACGTATCCCTTTCGGAAGCAGTTAAAATAGCCTGACTTTTTCAGAAAGTGGAGTAGAGGTTAGCAGGGGCTGGGGGAGTGGAGAATGAATGAGGATTTGTTGTTAAATGGGTATGGAGTTTCTGCTTGAGATGATGAAAAAGTTCTGGAAAGGGAGAGTAGTGACGGTTGCTCAACATTGTGAATGTATTTAATACACTGAATTGTGCGCTTCAAAGTAGTTCAAATGGCGAATTTTATGTTATGTACATTTAGCACATGCACACAAACAACTAGTCCTTTGGAGGAATGGAATGATGGGAGTAAAGAATGTTCAATTTTAGCTGATTGCTGCTGCCCCAGGTGTGTGTGCGTGTGTGTGCGCGCGCGCGCGCGCGCGTGTGTGTGTGTGTGTGTGAGGTTAATGTAAGGAGACCCAACTCACAGCACGGGGTCTGACACAGTACAAGCGTATTCATAGGAACAAGGGAATAGATACAAATTTTTGAAAATACAGTAGATGGCAGCAAAAATGTGATATAAACATAGGAGATGCCTAGATCACTCCTGCTCCCTTTGCCTGGTCGACTCCTGGGTTCCATACGGCTTCTTTGTAGGGTGCTTTGTAGAGCAGTGACTCTCAAACTTCCCCGCACACAGGAATCACCTGGGGACCTTGTTAAGCTGCAAATTCTAATGCAGTAGGTCTGAGGTGAAGCTTTTAGCCTGAATTTCTAACAAGTTCCCGGGTGATGCTGACATACTACACCCGCCGACCATATCGGGAGGGCTGCGTAAATTTAACGTCTTTCTTAGTTCACCGTGATACCCTCATGTCCGGCAGGGTGATTCACACCATAGTAGGTGCTCCATAAATATTTATTGGACGAATCACAGAGTATACAGGGTTAGTATAGCAGTTCGGAGGGCAGAACAATCGCTGTCCTTTGAACTACAGCACATTGGGGGTGTTTCAGCTTCTATCAGTCTTTCCCTCTGTGAAATTACCTCATACTCCGTGGGGGTAAGGATGCTCATACCAAATTATTTCTGGTCTTGGCAGCCTGCTGCCTCCATTCTAATCCTTGAAGTAGTGGCCCTTTCCATGTGGAAGGTAACGAACCCTGGTTTGCAAGCTCTGAGGAAACCTTGCTGTCGTCTACAATCGCTGCAGACAGATTCTCTCCATCCAAGAAGGGAGCAGAGGGCAGAGAACCTGCTGGTGTGGGAATTTCCGATTTTGGTGCCTATCCAAGGAATTGCCACCTCAAATCAAATAAACAGCCTTTTAACAGTGTATGTGAGAAGGAAGTTTATTACACTAAAACACACAAATGTAATAATATTGCCATTATTTACTATTATCGTTTGTGATGATGATAACGTCACTGGCAGTTGAGCGATTAAGCGTGCGGGGGACTTGGGGGAGGGGGCACAGGGCTGTGAGGGCAGGAGAAAGAGGAACTACATCTCCCAGAACCCCCCGGGAAAGTCCACGCCGCGGCGGCGGCGCCCCACCCCTTTCGCCAGCCGGACCCGCCCCGCAGATGACGTCACAGAGGTGACGTCACGGCGCCCAGAGCGAGGCTGGGGTAGAGAGGCCGACTGAGCAGGAGTCGTCCGCTTGTCGTGGAGGCTGCTAGGGAGCCGGCGAGAGGGTGAGCGGGCGAGCAGGAGAGCGAGCTAGAGCAGGCAGGAGGGAGCGACGCGCGGCGCAGAGTAGCGCCGGGGCCGGGCCGCGGCGGAACCCACAGCCGGAGAGGGGCAGCCCGAGCTGGGCGCCGCGGGGTCCCCACCCCCACTCGGCCGGACAGTGCCCGGTGTTCCCCCGTGCGGGGGGCGGCGGCGGCGGCTGACGGGACCGGACAGGATCGCGGGGGTGTTGCCACCTCCACCGAGGAGCCGGCGCGGCCGCAGGCTCCTCAGAGCCGGGGCCCGGGGCCCGTGATAGACGGGCCGAGGAAAGGAGAGGCGGCGCAGGCGACGGGGAGGCAGCGGCGACACCATGTCATCCCCCAGTCCGGGCAAGAGGCGGATGGACACGGACGTGGTCAAGCTGTATCCTTCGTGGAGGGGGGATTCGGGCTGTCGAGGGGGGGGCTGTGTGAGGAAGCCCAGGGCACCCCTGAAACCCAAGCAGGGGCCCTGGGGCACTCCAGGCCACTGTTCGAGGCTCCCTTCCTCTCCTCCCTCCCCCCAGTGCCTACGGCGGCTCCTTGGCACCTCCCAGGAGCCGAGAGCCTTTCCAGCTCCCCCTTTATCTGCAGCACCCCGAAACGTGCGTTGTTTCTCGCTGTTCTGCACCCCCTTTGCCCGTGACTCTCCTCCACGACGTTTGGATTCCCAAGACGACGTGTTGGTTTTTTTTGTTTTGTTTTTTTTGTTTTTTTGTTTTTTTTGCAGGACCAGCTACCTCTCTTTATCACCATGTCCACCTCAGGGTCTCTCCTGTTTGCTCGCTCTGGATTTAGGGACTCGTGATAGAAATTCCCGAGAGTGAAGCCTTTCTTCCTTTTTGAGATGCCTCCATTCCCTCCACTCACTGTGCTTCTTGAACTGGGGTAACTCAAGTGACCTCCTTTATCCCTAATTCCTTTCTATATTAGGAAGAGTAGTCTGCTCAGTGCCCCCTCTTGTAATAAAGAGCTCTGAGTGTTTTAAATCAGAGACCCCTGTTAAGCTCTCGGGTCCCTAGAAGAACCCCACGGTTTTTCTTTTCACTGACAAAGCCTGTCCCACCCATAGTTGTATGCAGTGAGGACCCCCAGGCCCTCCATAAGCCACCCTCCATATTGTGGATATGACAGCTGGAGGAGGGAGAGAAAGAGGATCTCCTTGACAAAATAGCCCCTGTAGTAGCCACTTAAGCAAACTCTGTCTATGAGGGTAAGGTTCTTGGGGGAATGACTGCCCTGATTTTACCAAGTGACACCTTTTATTCCACCCCACCCCCCAACTTTATGTACTCTGGAGGGAGCAGTGGGAAAGCTATAACTGATAAGGGCCCTTCAGGCAGAGGTTTTGGTTGGAGTCCAGACTGATTATTTGGTGACCAGCTAGAGAAATTCGCGAAGGTTCCTGTGACAAATGGAGACAATTTTTGAGGGGTAATTTAGAGGGTTGGGGGGGAGAGAGAGGAAAGGAGCCCAGTGTTCTGAGCACCTAATCCCTGGGGAGAAGGGGAACCGGGGATGGGGAGTGGTGGTGTGTGAAACGCAGTTAAAAAGTCCTGTCTCCTGCTTCTCTTTCTCCCTCACCCCCATCCCCCCACCATTTCCCCCTGTTGCAGGGTTTTGTTTATATAACTCAAGTTGTTTGGCTAGATTCTTCAGGTGAATTCCTTCTTTCTTCCTTTTATTTGTTACTGTTTTTGATCGAACGTTTTTCCTCTTTTTAGAGATTGATGATTATTGTCAAATACTGAGTTATGGAATTCTCAGAAGTCTTTTAAGAAGTAGTTTTTGTATTTGGTTTAGAAGTGGGGGATGGGAGAGAAGTTGCCTGGGCAAGAGATTTTTTTTTTTTTTTCATAATCTTTTCAAGAATAGGGTGTTTTCTCCTCACTCGGGAAAACTTAGCCAGAAATTAAGAACAGTAGATAAAACTACTAAGTTTTAGTATTTGAAGTTCAGAATTTTGGGGTGGTGGGAAGGGGGATTACAGAGAGGGGCAAATAGTAAAATATATGTTCCAAATACATGTCTAGGCACAAGTGAAATTGACTCTTCCTGAGCTGTTTGTGGCTGTGATTAAGTTTTGTAAACGTGTGAATGATACCAGTAATGTTGGCTTTTCATAATGTTGCAGGAAAACTTGTAACTATGGCTGTGTGTTCAATTTACACAAAGCAGTTTCGGGTTTTATTTTTGTTTAGAAACTAGGAAATGACATGGTGGCAGCATCTGAGTTATTTTTATCCTGAATTGAGAGTTACTGTCACACCTAATGCAAATTTCTACCTAATGTTTAATTGGGATGGAGGTGGAGAGAGAATTCCAGCTGTTTTTGATCAATGTCAGTGTCTCAAATTATATATATACATTTTTAGAAGATTGAGGATAAAGGGTGAGGCCTAACTTGACCTGATGCCTTTTCCATACAGTGCCTTTTGTTCATTTAGTAGTTGTGGCATCTAGAATGATTACCGCATTTAGGAGTCGGGGTGTGGGGGGTGGAGAGGGAGAGGAAAACAGACAAAGAACAGCAGGGTGTCTTTCTCTTTTTTCTTCCCCTAAGTGGCTTATTTCATAGCTTATTTTTAGTAGAAGATGAAGAAAGGCAAAGATGCATTGGCCTTCTGTTCTTTCCCCACCTTCCTCCTTTCTGACAAAAGAAAGCAGAGGCGCTTTAAAATCATAGATCTCTGAGATAGGAGGACAACAGTCTCGGGACGTAAAAGCCAGAGGTTATCTTTGTTTCATGTTTGTTATTTTCTGGTCTAACGTAGTTTGGAAGTTAAAATTTTTGTATTTCCTTTTGTGTGTGCATGTGTGTGGTGGGGGTGAGAGATTTTGTGGCCTCTTTTCTCTGTTGAATTCACATTAGTAGGCCCAAATGGAGCCCATAATTTTTGAGCAAGGTATATTTAGCAAAAATTTAAGGAAAAATTTCCCAACCCACTATTAAAATTAGTACAGTTGTGTGAAAGGGCCGGGGTTGAAAATGAAAGATGGTGGAGAGGAAGTAGAGAAGGTCTGAAGGAATGTACTTGCTTTTTGCCCCTCAGTGCCCCTTGATGATTTCTTTGGTATGGAGGCCAATAGCTGGTTTCATTGCAATCTCCTGTTTCAGCCCATTTTTGGATGTCTCCTGAGTGTAATTATGCCACCACGATTTACAGCTTGGCAGGGAACCTATAATAGTAGGAAAGTAGTGGTGTGGGGGTAGGGAGAGAAGGGGATGTGTAACTAATTGGCCACTGCTTTCCACCACCTAGCTGGGTTCTTTCCGAGACACTGTCTCTGGTTGTTGTTTGGAGTCAGTGCAGTTTCTTTTGTGACGGGTTGGTAGGAGGAGAGCTGACTCTCAAGTTATGCAGGGAGTGAGTGTTTTGCACCGATGCACTTAATAATCTGCTGGGCGATTATGTTCTGAAACTCTGACTCATTCATTGTTTCTGTTCTGATCCTTTTGCTGAGGGTTGTGCAAACCTCTCCAGGAGCCTAGAAACTGATGTACTGACTTCTGGGTCCTGTAGGAATTTGTCCCAATCAAAAAACTTACAGTCAGCCCAGATCCTGTGGTATGGTCGTGAATAGTGTGGCCATTTGTTTGCAAAGTCAGGTAGATTGGTGATACCGTGCTGTTCCCAGCCTGGCAAGCGTTAAGGTTTCCATCTCAAACCCAAACCCGGGCTGATTATTTAGATTGTCTGAGAACTGGGACTCTGGTGACCTTAAAGCGTGATTTGCCCTAAAGGAATATCGGTTTAAGTTCTCCCTGGTGGAGGAACAAACAGCTCAGATTACACGGGTTTCCTTGTTGGTGGGGGTTACTCGTCTCACCCTGTTGCACAGCCTGGTGATCCTTTTATCTGTGAACCAGTGGCCCCTGCTGAAGGCTGGAGCTGCTTGTTTTGGAAAAGCGTATGCAGGGAAAAGGCCTCAGGCACAGCTCCTCACAGCTCATTGGCTGCTCTGTTACTACCCGGAAAAGGAGGAGGGGTGGAGCTACCAAACAGCTGATGGAGTGTGTGACCAGAGTGTTTATATACAAAAGAAGTAGGGGCTGGGGACGCCTTGTGAGTGGTGTTACAGGATTAAGTGTATTTTCAAGGGGTGAAAAAGAGGAAAACCTGACCTCTCAGAGTACAAAAAATAAGCGTTCAGGGTTAAATCAGAAAAGTGAATCTGATAATAATGGGGACTTGGCATGCACTGTATTTGTTATTGGTGTGAGATTTTGGAATTTACTTTATAATACTAAGTTTTCAAAGATTTCCTTTTTCAGAGGGAGTTGTAACTTAAAATAGGATATGCCGCCACTTTAAATGTACTTAAATGACTCATGCAGGGATTCAAAAGTATGGTACAAATGTAAGTTTTCCCTACAAAAGCTTGAAGAGTGATAGAAAGGGGCAGTGACTCTTACTAAATTCATTAGCAGCATTTAGTGAAACCTTACAGAATCCAGGGTGTCTGCTTTAGGGTTTCAGAAGCTTTCAGTAACAAGTTCATCCCCCTAAAATGTTTGAGCACCCACTTCATGCCAGGTTTGGTGCTAGGTGCTAGGGGGTTAGTAGTGAAAAATTCAGTGTGGGTGGTCATGATGCTTATGTAACCAGTTAAACAATTAAAAAAAAAAAAAACCAAAGTAGAGCTGTTTATAGTGGGTCAGCATTGTATGTATCAGCTTTTTGAATAACTTGTATTTACTTTCAGAATTGACTTCAAGGGGAAGAAAGATTAAAAAGTGAATTTTATGCAATGGGATGTATGGGGTGCTATATTCCCATTATTTAAAAGGTAGATGTTAAAAGAAAATGGAAAGAAAAACATTCAAATGCTTAACCCTTTGACATCAGCTTTGGTATTTTGTTGTCAATCAGTAATTATTCTATCCCTAAATTAGTAGTCTTTGTTACTCTTTAATTTGTGCTCAGAGTATAGACGATTCTGTAATCTTCTAACTAGCTCCAGTGTCAGTTGAGAGAACCTGTGTTTTGCTTTTATTTCCTGTGGACTCTGTTTTTGTGAGATGTTGAGGTGGAAGGTAGAACAGCTTTATGGTCTTCAAGCTAGAAATTAAAGGTTTGGCAACTCCCAGTGTTCTGAATTTGTCTTCTCTGCCTAGATTTTGGTGACAAATATAACATACTGGTACTTATTTTTGTTAAGCAGGAACCTACATGAGTAAGCATTCACAGCTTCAGAACATCAGAGTCCTGCAGTGCAGTTCTAGTAAATTACACACAAGCCTGAAAATTCAGCTTTTAGGGGAGAAAAATCTTTTGCAGATGTGACCCATAAAAGTCCCTTAACCCTGTTTGTATGCATGTGTTAGAAACACCTGGATTTGTTGTTTTCCTAGTGTTGTGCAATTTCCCTAGTACCTTGACC